TCAGGCCTCCGCCGCTGCCCCGGCCCGCCCGAGTTCCGCCCAGTCGGGTCCGCCCAGCCGTTAGCCCGAGCCCGCCCAGTCGGGGTCCGCCCGGCCCAGCCCGAGCCCGCCCAGTCGTCCGGGTCGGCGCTCCGGCCGGATTACCCCGCCCAGCTAGTGTCCACTCCTCCCACTCGGCCCCGCCCCTCCCTGTCTGGCCGCGCCCACCCAGAGACCCAATTGGCCTGGGACGCCACGCCCACGTCCAAATGGTCCAATCCTCTTCCACCCCGCTCCCGGGTCGCCCCGCCCAGGCCCGCCCAGGCCTCAATGAGTCAGCCCTGCTCTGGGCTGGCTACGCCCGCTGCTGATTCACTTTTCCGCGTCTAGTCCACCCGCGCAGTGCTGAGCCCCGAGACCGCCTCCCCCAGCCCCGCCTTCTCCCGGGCTGGGTGGGCAGACCCCGAAGGGCAGACGGGGACCCCTCGCAGGTGTCTGACCGGTGGGCTCAGGCCAAACCTGGGTTTAGCAACCTCCCTACTTGGGTTCAGGTCAGGAAAGAATTCAGAGGCAAGACCCAAACTATAAGAGAACATTTATTGGGTAAATCACAGAACTACAAGAAGTAATTCCTAGAAGAAATGGGCTTACGAAACGAGTTACGGAGGTAAAGGAAGGGCCCTTGGAATTTGGGAGTGAGGAAGCTAATGATAAAGTGGGGGGAGGGGGGGAAGGAGGGGAGGGGGCGGTATCCCCGAAGGGAAGGGAAGGGAAGGGAGAGGAAAGGTATGGGGCGCTCCTGGGAGGGAGAGCACACTGGGTCCTCCCTCCTACTGGTTTTAAGGGCGGAGATTGTAGGCAGCTCCCAGGGAAGATCTGTAGAATTTCCTGCGGTTTTCTAGGTGGGTCCTTGCAGGGTTGTGGTCCCCACTGATTGGCCGGCACCTGGGCGGGGTCACTATTCCATGCAGCTGGTCCTGAGGTCAGCCGTGGCGTGCTCGTTTGGTTGCTTATCTGGGGCCCAGAGCTGCAATACAACTGAGGCCTGGATGTTATCTCCCGGGGCGGAAAGGTCAGGGGGTCTAAACCGGGTGACCAGGGATAGCTAGGGAAGGAAAGGTCACCCTGGGGGCCGAGGCCCCACCCTACCACTGATTGTCCCTTTGCTAGGCACCTGGGCTTTCCGTCGGGCGGCCCTTTCCCTACCAGGCCCATCGTCTTTGCCTCTGCTCCACACCTGTCTAACTGCTAACAGCAGATGGGACCATTTTTGTTGGGGATTTTTCAACTTCCTAAAAAGTGTTTTTTCTTTGGTTTTCTGACTGCACATGCAGA